CACCCTTCGCCCCCCCCCGAATATAGGTGCCATTGAATGCTCTGTGTCGCATCGGACATGGCCCTCTGTTGCCTTGCGAGATCGATTTCTTCGTTCTCCGTCATATGCACCGCAGGTTCAAGACTCGATCCGGGTTTCGAAACGTCGGGAGTAGGGATGTTTGGAAAAGAGCGATCTCTCGAGCAACCCTCAATCGTGCGTTCCAATCGATGGATTTGGACATTGCACCAGTGATTGAACTTTATGGTAACTCTTCGGAATATCGTCTGCAAGCCTGACCTCGAACAATGAGGGCACATGAGCACTCTGTGAATGGTGGATGGTCGGAGCTCTCGTCTCTCCTAGGTATATCACACATTTGGAGAACTTGTCCCCCGCCCTCGTCAGGGATGATATTCTGAGCAGAACGTTTCAAGTCGCTGAATTTCTTTGGAGAATACATCTGAGTTTTCTGACTGAGTCACAACGGAGGGAGAGAGATCGGGCTCTATCTATTAGGGACTGCTTGTCTGGACTCTAGGTAGAGAGATTTTTTTCGAGAGGGGTGTGCGTCACCCTAGGAGGCGCATTCGTTAGGGGGCGGAGTCAGCGGTGGGAGGCGCACCAAAATCCTCGTGAGGGATCCGAATTAGAGATCTGATTACTTTTAGACGGAGCGTGTTTTGTGCACAATTCGTCGATGGTCTTGGATAGACGAAAATCTAGTTGAGCGCGTGAACCCCGTGAAAAACGTCGCCCCCTATGTTCGCAACATAGAAGTCTTTCCGAGCGGGCGAACAAAGAGCGAAACCTTGTTCGTACTTCCTCAGCTATAGATAGAGACATCGGGCTCCGTGAGTTCGGAACAATGCGAGATGGAATCGGGAGCTAATTCGTCTGATTGCCTTATAAGCGTGAACGACCCGAATACCGGGGAGAAAAAGGAAGAGAAAACGGCGGTGGACTTTCTGTAGTTCCGGAGTCGATTCGGGGACAAAAGCCTCATCAGCATTTGCTCATTCCGGCCGCAAGTTCGACTCGGAAACCAAGTCTTCAACAGAAAACGCTAGCGAAGGTTGGATTTCGAGCCCCCGTGAAGGAATCGATTGCGGATTCCGAGCTCGCGCGAAAGAGTCAAAGCATGGAGTCGCAGGGTAGACGTGCTGAGCACAACCCTGAATCGTACCACGAGGCGTAGAATTTCCGAAGGTTGTATCGTCGGAGTCGGAAGGGTGTTTTTGTCGGTCGTCCCATATATCGGAGCAGTCAGCCGCCGATCCCGCAGGTCTCTATCGGCTCTGTACGTGAATGAATCGATCGCAAGCAATGAGCCCAGCGATGCTCGGAAATCCAATCGCTCAGAATTTTTGGACGATTTGTCCCAAACGAGTGTCTTGGAGTGATCACAGAAAAGCAATGAAAATGTTCGCGACTCGCGACCCCTGACTTGGGCTTCTGGGTGACTGATTTGAACGGTTCTATCGTGATGTCATTTTCCCTCCCGAAGTTCAGCTCGAATTGTGCTCGTTCCATCAGATTTGTACTTTCAATCGGAGGCGAATGAGCGGCTTTTGAATGAAAGGGGTCAAAGCGGTAGGGAGCCCTTCTGAACTTTTCACTATCTTCTCAATGCTCGAATCCCGGAGGGATCGAATCTCGGTTCTCCATTATCAGAACATTGATCGGCAAATATTGCAGCAAGGAAGCGATCTCAACTCCGAGCTGTCGCAGAAGGTTCGCAGCCTTTCCTGCAAAACCACGAATAGCATTTGCCCCAACACTGAGCAGTATCGACATTGACTGCTAGAACAATGGAATGCGTCGACGTGCTCCGATAAAGACTTGTGCGAGGAAAATCTGTGGTCCGCACGAGATCATTCGCTGCGTTCCGACTTGGCAAAAGCGGAAGAATTTCTGGGAGAACCCCCGAGGAGAACATTCATATTTGTCGAAATCTCTGCCGAGAGCAACTCAGCGTTCTCTCCGGAATCCAAGTCGCGCGACAATCACAGAAACTCAAAACGAGTCATTCTAGTTCGCAGGTATGGGACTCGTCGCAGACGTATTTGGTGAGACCCCGGAAGCTTCAAGTGTTGTACATCGATCGCAAAGCGTGAGTATTCACAATGGAAAACTTGCGTATATGTATTTGCGCAAACCTAGATGAAACTGCTCTAAACTGACTGGATCCGCTGACGGGATCCAGTGCTGTCATCGCTCTATCCCCGACGCGAGCACCCTGAGCTGTGCCGATCGGTGGCCCCGGGCCGGACATCGGGATCGAATAGAACTTGGAAAAGCTCTACCTTCAAGAAAAGCTTCTGAGCAGCCTTCGGTGTGGCTGCGCTGATCGCCTCCGCCAGCCCGATCTTTTGTCATTGCGGCATTGCGCTTTGAACATTCTAAAATCTGAAACACAACTAATTATATAAGCTGAGGTCTTCAGCTTCCCCTGGGGTGCCGCTGGTCGGTGCGTTGGCGCGTCATCACATCGCCCGAGCGACTTACGCGACTACGAGTACTTGTCGAAGGGCCGGTGCGAGTCGAACGCAAGAGCGAAGGTCCTCAATGAACGGACTTCACACGCCCGCTTCTGTTATTCGGGAACAGAGGGCGGGAAACTTCACTAACTTGAATGGAACGGTTCTTTTGTTTCGGTAGCTCTTTGTCCGATTCGAGCTGGATGAGCAATCAGTGGAAGTCACGGGCGTGGTGTTATGTAGCCAGTCGGTCAAACTGACTCCCTCGCTGGCCTATAGCTAATAAATGGGCGACTCCAACGGTCGTCCGGCCTACAGAAAGTGAAGATGAACAAGGTCGCTCTGTCGAGCATGGTCATTATCGGGGAAATTAGGATCCATCGGATTCCACGCTCCGTGAGCGTCAACAAAAGATTCAAAAAACCGCATTACGGATAGTGGATTTGCACTGCATTGCTCCGCGGATCGCCATGAACGGGAGGGATGAGTGAGGTCCTGGTTCACTATCCGATGGCCCTTCATGCCATCGATCGAGCGACGATCCGTAGGAGCTCTCCGGAAAAAAATCGCCCTAAAGGCGATGATTGCTCAGATGCAGCACATCGACATCGATCCCATCGACTCCGGCTCGGGGCTCGAGATGAGAACCAGTGCTTCATTATTCGAAATCCTGGGGCGAACAAATTCAGAGTTAACATGCTAGAGTTTGAACTTCAGGATACCGGCAGCTATAAATTCGGATATTCTATCGATGATGGTTGGGGATCATCTAACGGAAGATGGGAAGTAAGTGATTCGGAAACCCGACGCCCTACACGTTGCGAAATTCAAAACCCACAATAGGAGGTTTCCGACCCTAATGTTGTGATTGATTGTTCAAGGCCGGTGACGCTTTCGGGAACAAACGCGGCGGGTACACGATAACAGATGCCGATGGGCGCAAAAGATACGTACAATACGTCGCAGACGAAAAAGGTAGAGCGGAGTGAGCCGAATCGCGAGATCTCAGGCGTTGCCAAGACATGCAGCCGACATTTTCTCAAGTCTCTCGAAATTCCTCGCTGCAGGTTTCCGAGTCGTGATCAATACGAACGAGCCTGGAACAGCGCCCTCACACACTGGATCCGCCATTACAAAGCCTGCAGAGACAAAAGATGAGGTCGAAGACGAAGCATTGTTGCAGAGGCTCGATGCGAAACACGACTCGTCGGACGAAACGGTCCGGCTTCACTCCTCTCACGAAGAGGAGTTCGAGCTCTCCAATAAGCATCCATCCGATGAAATAGATCAGTATCCAGCACACACTCAAGCCCATTCTGCCCACGATCATGATTCAGCATATAGGACAGGTAAAGTTGTTGATTTGCTTCTACAGAGATGTTTCCTCGTCACGTCGCCGTGGATACAGCTCATCCAGTATTTCAGAAATACATACAGGTGCTTCAGCTCCTATAGAAAAGTCCGCTCTCACGATAGAGGACCGCGAACCCTTGATCGTATCCAAGTCTGGCTCAATCGCATCGCTCCGTCCAGAACTGCATGGTGAGATTTGGTTTTATAATTTGATGCCACAACTTGTCGATTTTTTCCGTGACGGAATCGGGGCCTCGCCTGGAAGGCAAGTTCCGTAGTCTTCCATTCCGTGAGTCTACGGCAATTGTTTGAAACACTGAGCGGGCTATTCAGGAAGTCGGACATTACAGTATCACCCGTGCCAGTCCGAGACGTGCCTGGCTACTTTTCTTCAAGCAACACGCTGGCTAGCGAATCAGTATTTGGCATTCACCAAGCGGAGAAAGCCGTTGTCCCCGGCGCGACAGCTTCAGAAAACGGAATCGGGGTCGTTTTGAAGAATCCTCCGATCAGAAGCACCGGCTGGTCAAGCAAGAAGGAGTTCTACCGCGAATATCTGAGAAAGAAATACGCTAATCAGGAGAGACTTGCCTCACGACCGAGACAAGTGACAGTTGAGCACACGGAACCGGTAGATCCGAAAACGCTCCTCACCTACGATAGAGGGTTATTGCCCTTCGATTATTCACATTTGAAGCGAAAGCTGATAGCAGAGGACGATGAGACTGCCGTCGAATCCTTCATACCGAAGTCGAGCGCTCTTCTTCATTCGGCGCACCATAACAATCTGAATGACGGGAAATACGAAGGGAAGATATCAGATCTGCGGAACTCAATACCTGGTGTCTCTTCGGAGCCTGTGTTCCCCGTCAACGTAGCTCCTCTGGGTCTCGCTCCGGTCAGCTACGCAAACCCGAGTCGCCACGCTCCGCAAGCTCAGGCAAGTTCGAGCTCTCGTTTTCAAAGCGGTAGGGGGATCTCGCGTCGAGACTTCAACGACTTTTCTCGCTTTCTCCAGGTGCCTAGCCACTATCTTTATGGGACTCCCGACTCATCCAATGAAGACGCTCTTGAAGACTACCCCGCGTTGAGATTCCTCAAGAAAGAATATCCCGTCAATTTGAAAGCGTCCGCATCATCTGTGAGTATACACTTGCATTTTTCCCTGTCCTCTCTCGAATTAGTGGCTCGGATGAATTTACTCGACGCGTGTCATCATTCAACATGTCTAGAATATTCTCATCTTCCTTCCTCTCAGAGAAGCTTCAAACGCACCTTCGTCAAGCGCACGGGTTTCACGCCTAGGAAATATGACGAGCCCGAGAAGAGCCAGCCTTCGATCAGCGGCTCTTCGAGAGTGAAGTCTGTAGCTTCTCCGATCTTCTCCCACGCTGGCGGACGCAGACGGAATACCGACAGTCATCATTGATGCCGCTCGCCGGGACTAGCTTGAGGCTGACGACCTGATTTTATTTATGCTCCGCTCAGAGGTCGCTCCGGCTGATTTCTTCCGTTTCGATGCTGCTCGATTCTTCACGCATACTTCCCATAATTGATCATCACGGAGGATTGAGGGTAACCCGGAGAGTATGATTCGGCTTTGAACTCTACCCCACGTCTTTATTGATGTTTCGGACGCGAGCCTCCTGTATTTATTATATTTATTTGTTTGCATGAAATAAAGCTCATCCTGAAAGATGAAGGACAGAAGTCTCAGAAGACGCGACGGTTGATCGATTGACGCGCATTCATAAAGTTCAAATCACGCTTCGTTTCCTGGCGAGAAATAATCGACACTGCGGGGATCCAGCTTTCGAATGAGTCGAATGATATCGCTGGGATTCCATGAACGGAGCGATGCTCCACGAGAAAACCCGTTACACTCGTGAAAAGAGCAGTTATGTGCCTTCTGTAGTGAAGTGCGACCATTTTGCATTCCGGGTCCGTTACAACTGGTCGCTGTGCGAAAACGCGGATGTGGATTCTTTCAGTTGCGAGCCAGCGCTCCGCATTCCTGAGATCACACCGACAGATGGGATCGGTAACGAGGACAGGTTCCGCTGTACATTCAACCGACTGCTTCTAGCAGCCGTGAGAAGTGTCTTCCGATGCGAAGCATGCGGAAATACTACGAGTGCGAATCAGGGATTGAGTCGCCTCAGATATCTGGTCACCATCGGAGACCAGTCCCAGAGGGGGATAATCTTGATGACTAAGGGGTGAAAACTCGGAAGGGAGAAAGAGTGACGGGATGTTGGAGGGGGAGCGCCCATGCGCTGGAGCCGAAGATATCTGCCCACATGAGTGAATATTCTGATCGTTGGGCTGCGGAACATACCCCCACCGGGTTCGAGCGAGAAATAGCTGACGAGACATTGAGTGATTCTACCCTCGATTATTGTCATTAGTATTGCAGAGTTGTCGAGGATGGTATACGGAAGTGCGGATAAGTCATAGAGGTAATTTTTCCGCATCTTGAGTTCCATTTCCAGAGGGAGGCTGAAGTCTTTGAGGCTCCGAGACTTCTCAAACAGCTCACGTCGGAGCACCCTGGCAATGAGATTTCGAGAATATGCTTAGCGGAATTACGGCCCAAATTCGCGCTCTGATCTGGAAAATCTCCTTCCCCGATTGGGCATGGTCATCGAGTGATTCCGGAAATCATGATATGGGACAGAGAGCGAACGCTACTAGCTGCCCGCGTGAGTTTTGTCGAATTCGAGAGGAAGAGGCGCGATTTCGACGGGCATCGACTCCGATTGTGAGTCAGAGGCCTCCGATATCACTCATACTGCAAATGACGGCAGCCTCAGTGAGTGCGGGAAATGCGAAGGGAAGCTGGCAGCCCAAGCGTGTGCTGCGATGATACATCTTCAAGAGCTTGTTTCCAGATATGCACATGATTATGTAGAAGAGCTACCGCGGGCTGTGAGCTAGGATCGAAGGCGGACGCGTCATTGATTGGAAAGTTTCGAATCTTTAGAACTCTTTCCCACAAACAGGAATAAGTTCTTATGGGTAGCTGGAGTGTTAAGGAGCGTTCCGAAGTTGAAGAGTACGGAACGCGTCATTTTTTCCTCGATATTTGGCCGCAATATAGACGATGCCAAATTTTTGTATCGCCCTCAGTTCCCGATCGAGGAGGAACTCGAATCGATTTAGGATCAACAGCCCTCCGGCCCCCTAAAGATGTGGAGATGAAGTTTTTATATTGCAGGAGGTCCGACACACACTGGTAGTTCGGGTACCGCGGATATCTATTTTCAATATGTCCGTCTGACAATATTAATGAAAATATATAGAAGCAGAACCAAGCTGAAATCCGCCCTTGAACATTCCAGCAAGCGACTCTCCGTCAGAGCTGGAAGTCGTACGGTATCGTAGAATAAGTATCAAGAGGATTCAAGGTACCTACCCTATGGTATCTCCACTGGAAGTCCCCGGGAACAGCTGAAAAGCGACTCAGGGAATCGACAGATCGGTCATCGTAGAGCTCGGAAGCTCAGGCGTTATGCCTTAAATGCCTATATCTGCTTTTTTCGGCTTTTTTGATGCAAAATGCCAATCTTCCACAGTCTGTCATAGTTATAGACAGACAATCTGGGTTCCGGAACAAGGATTGAAAATTCGACCTCTTTATCGGACTGCATAACATTTCCCGAGGCCCGTTCCGATGTCCCGGTCATCAACAAGGCGTCCTGGTCCTGCGATTAGTATCAGGATTTTCATCAGCCACAGTCCAGGGATCGCTGACCTAGGACGCTCGGAGAATCGACGGGAGAGAATTAAGCGGCAATGCAAATATGCCGAAGTCGTCCCTCCAGCAAAGGAGCCCGGCGCCCGCGGAACACCGCCTCTTGCGGATCGCGAGGAGGGCTCTGGATGCGAAGTCACGGTTCAAGATCACGAATGGATAATCTTCGCGGAAGCTTGAGCTCGAGCGAACGCACCGAGGTCCAAGCTCTAGTGAAAACCTAGGTGTTCGCTGTCAAAGGAAATCTCGTCTTACGAGCGAATGACTCGTTTCTAGCGGGAGAAAGGATGATTCGCCTCTGGTCAACCTGGAATGGATCCGCCCCTCGGGAATCGGTCAGACAAGCTGTCTGGCGGTCTCACAGGTGCTCCCATGATGGCGCTGTTAGATACTTCAGTTCTTTGCATTATCTCGGTGATCTCGTGTGTCGCGTTCCAAAGTGTCCAAGACGAGCACCTTCCGGATATCCAAAGACTCCGGAAGGCACTCGGGATGACCGGGTCACGACTCAAGAATCGCTTGGTGCGACCAGTTCTCTCCGAGAACACAACGATTGATGTTACCGTGACCGTCGATGTATCGGGAATCTTCTCTATCCTGCTTGACGGACGTGAGTATAAGTGTGATGAAGGATTGATAACGGTCGAATATCGATGATTTCGAATGTCCGGATTCCCCCGCCCTCCCGATGTGTCTCGCATCTCCCATCTTTTTATCTATAGGAGAAGCCACGTTCAAAGGCCAGACCTGCGTATCCTGGTTCGCTGAAATCCTCAACTGGGATCCGAACGATTTCAACGGTCTCCAATCCGTGACGTTCCTCGAATACGAAATGTGGGTCCCGGATATAGTAATCTTCAACCGAGTGAATTTCATGAACCCTTACAACAGACGCCGGAGTCCCATACGACTCTTCTCTAATGGCACCTTGGGATTTTGTGAATTATGAGTGTGAGCTGCGACACCGATATGTACGCCTTTCCTGTGGACAGACACCAGTGCTCGGTGCTGTTTGGCTCCACGACGTACGGCATCAAGAAACTCAATCTGAAACCCGTGCTCCATCGAGACTACGAGAAAATTCACCAGTCGATTCGCGGAATGGCGTCTTCTCGCTGCCGATTTCCGTCTCCGTCCGGGGAGTTTTGACGATTACTTCGATTACACTCTACAATTAGATCTCGTTATCGAGAGGAGATTCTCGTACCATTTCCATCTATTCGTCATCCCGATGTGTATCGGCACCGCACTGACTGCGCTCTCTTGCTGGCTGCCGCTGACTTCTCCGAAAAAGTTCGGAGAAGCCTCTGATCGGACTGTTGCTCATGACGTACACGATCAATAATTACTCAATCATGTTACGTTCTTCTTCTACAACTCCCCTCATTCTGAAGTTCGCATCGGATCTCATGTTTTTCACGGCTTTCATTACTTTCCTCGCGGTCCTTATCATGATTCTCGAGGAGAGCAGAACGATACAGCTCCCCTCGCACCCTCTCTTGGATCGCCTCTTACACGCGGAATCCGTCCAGAGCTATTTACTGAGTGAAAAAGCCTTGATTTCCGATGCCACCGGGGAGGCCGAGATGCAAAATCCTCCGGCTGGGCAGGGTCTGGAGGACCTACCCGTGGTCGAGGAAAGGTTCGAGGCCACTCGGACCTGGCCACGGTTGCTGACGGTTCTGCAGCGAGTATCCTCTGTGCTGTTTCTATCTCTGTACCTTGTGGTGTATTATGTCACGATAGGCAGCGTCGACTAGAGCTTCGCAGAGAAAATAAACATCTCTGTCAGCAACGCTCGAACATCGTAGATAAATGACGCCGGGAAACAATAAAGGAAGTAATCCATCATCATCGTCTACTAACTGAAAGCCTCGACTTCTTTCGCAGAAAAACTCACTGCGCTCCTCGAGAGGACAGAAAAAAGTCCGTCCAACGTCGTTCAGAGACCCAAAACCCTCGTGAAGCACGGAATTTCCTCCTCGCAATGATCATATCGAAGCCAGTCTGAGGCCTAAAGACCCTAAAAGGGATCCATCAAAGAACGTTCCAGGGAGCAAACCCGATGCTCATTCGAACCTAAGGTCGCTAAGAAACCCCATTTTAGGAAGATGCCTCGGCTACTTTTCGGGGTCGGGGCCTGTGTCCGAGTCTTCCAGCTCGACATCTACTTCGTCTTCGCCTAGAGGTTGCTCCTGATTAGAGATCAATGGCGCCGAGTCGTCTCCCTGAAATTTCACGAGTACTCAGTACTGAATCCTTGTGATCTAATCGAATTGAATTGAATAGCTCCTTTATTTTGAAGACTATATGCAGTCAGTGGCGTACGCAGGATTTTTCTTGGGGGGGGGCTAGATCAGGTCTCCGCATGGGGCTGAAATCCAATATAACGATTCACTCCTATACTACAGCATTACGAAGTAACCATCTGGGAGGGGGCTATAGCCCCTTTAGCCCCCTCCTGCGTACGCCCCTGTATGCAGTGTCCGAAAAAAAAGGATAATATCACAGCCCGTGGTTCCTAATGGCGTGTAACAGAGAGATATTCGGGGTTCGGGGGGCCCTGGGAATGTTCTAACTCAGATAACCTCCATGCGAAGAGATTGTTTACACGGTCAATAGTCCTGGCGACGAATTTAGGCATGATTGTACAGCCACGTCTACGCGTATTGAGCCTGATGTCAAAAAACAGATCCAGCAAATCAGCTCCATAAAGCTGTCGGAGGACGCGGAGATCATACTTGTCGAGAATCTCAGACATGGGGGAGGGGTTCCAGTCTTGATACGAGCAGCGAAGAGATAACCGCCTCCGGAAATAGTTCTGAACCTCATCGATGATTTACGAAGATGTACGAGGAAAGGCTTCCATACAGGAGCGCAAAACACGAACTGTGAAAGTACCAGCGACTTGAATAGACGAACATATGAATCTGGTTGTCTGACGACAAGGCAGCGAAAGATCGAGTTGACAAGCGCTTGAGAGGAGCGTACCAACGGACACATATGTTCGCTAAAATCGAGATCCGGGCGAATCCAGACCCCCAGATCTCTCGTGGAGGGGGAGCAGGAGAGAACCGTACCGTCAAGTGAGTAATCCCAGTCGAAGCCAGATCCGAGAACCACTGTCTTCTCATGGGACAGCGACATACAATTATCGGAGGACCAGCGTAAGACGCCGTAGATGGCCTCCAGGAGACGAACACAATCGTCAGCCCGCGAAACCGATGACCACAGCTTAAGGTCATCGGCGTAGAGCAGATAGTCGATATCCGGAGGAAGATAGTCGCCTATGTCGAGCAGGTAAATAGCGAAGAGCAATGGGGAAAGCGAGCTCCCCTGCGGGGACCCACTTGAGGCAGGGAAAGGATCACTGCGGACACCGTCAACCATTGCTCGAAAAGACGATCACTCAGAAAAGACTCAATCCATGCGACGGTGATCTAATGGGGTCAGTTCAATCATCGAGCGATGTTCATAAATCGAGGATGTCATGAGTCATGACTAGAGCTCGGAGGTTCAGGCATTATGCCTTAAATGCCTCTATCTGCTTTTTTCGGCATTTTTTGATGTCAACTGCCTGTTTCATTTTTTCGTGCCTAGAGTGCCTTTTCGAGCTTCCGAGGGACCGAGTTCCGAGGATTTCGGGGCAAACTGAGGGTTTCTTATTGAGAACGGTGATGAGATGAGGTCGGCGAACCTAGTTTCCAGGAGCACATCTTGCTCTCGACAAGTTCCGATGCTCCGCCAGAGCGGGCAAAAAAAATTCGTCCTTGTAGAATGCTCGTATCAGATCGGCGTCGATTACTCACCGATGGGAATCCATGTTAACACATGAAATTCTCACAATACGACGCTGAGCGACGCTTCGATGCGTTTGTTTCCCTGCCTATAACGCCTATTTTGCCCAGTTTCGGTGCCTTTTTCGGGGGTTTTTAGTGGCTTCCCGCCTGCCATTTCTGAGATTTTTGAGTGCCTGAACTTCCGAGCTCTAGTCATCAGTATTCATATTTTATCCCGAAATAGCGCATGCTCTCGTCTTAGCTCCAATTCCGATCCTGACCAGCATCTAGTGGGAGAATTCGTAACATACGGTGAAGAACAGGAAGCTATAGGGTTCATCAGTTTACGGAGTCTTTATGGATTTCATCGAATATCCCCTCGACCAGCCACCGATTTTGGATTCGCATTTCGAATAGAGCCCTCAACTCGTAGGAGCAACTCGCTCAGACTAGCTGTTCGCTGCAGCGGCTTCCCCTGCCCGGAAAATTGGCAGCCTAGCTCGAGAGGTGCAAGCGGAACTCCGCCCCCGCGACTACCGCTTGACTCCTCCCTGCAAGGATGCTTGCGACAAGCCTGCGGAGGCACCGCCTCGGCGACGACTGCACCCTTTGAAGCGGAGCCGCTGCTTGCCGATTGCCGGAGCCTCACTGCAAACATTGGACTGGAGTCGAGTTAAGGAGCCTCGTTTTGGGACTGTGGCCCGTCTTCCGCCATTGCCGTCATTTGTTTGAATCAGTGAGTGCGCTGCTGCACAGTTCTCTGTCAACATCCCCACTAGCGTTCCAGGCGCGCGTTAGAAGGAAATCGGAGGATTCCGCTTAAGGTGAGTTCTGACGCTGTCTCGATTGTGGCGGGGTATCCATGATTCCGATCGACTCGGTCAGCCTCTACTATTCTCGAAATCCGATCTCGAGGTGAGCATATATGAGAGAGCTACCCGCCTAACATCGGAGTACCTTTATTGATTGATCCTCATGACTTCTGCCAAAAATAGCACGGCGTCTCACGATCCGCGAGAAGTAGCAACATTGACCTCCTCCATTGCTCTCCTGTTTCCCGAGTGAAAGAAGCGCAGCAAAAATTCCTCATTTTATTTATGGCAATGGCCCCTGTCCGTGACGCGGAAAAATTATCTACTGTGGAATCCCGCATCCTTAACGGAGGGAAACCTCCGACTAGATTCCAACGCGAATTCCACGAATAGACTGTGAATATAGAAGACCCCGCCCACTGAACGCACGGATTCGCAGCAGGTCAGAGCTCCAAATGTCATACCGCTTGTACGTCTGACCTCTGGTCTGATTCTAAACAGTTCTCTCGATATCCATCGACGTCTCATGGAATTAGATGATCGAGGTCGCCAATGGTATGGGTTCTGCGCTATTTAGAGTAAGAAGTTCCCGGTGAGTGCCTCGATTCTCGAGCCCCATGAGACGAACCAATGTAGGACTTGGGAAATTGGGTCACATTCAGCAATGCTGTCATTTCTCCTTAAACTCGAGTCATCCATGATTTGTTCTGACCAGTCGCTGCGACAATCGTCATCCAGCCCCGTTCAGGTTCTGGCCCCGTATTCTTCCCTCCTCGTTCTGGAGAATCTTATGGGGAGGAGCGGGAGCCGACTCGATGCATGAGGAACCCGGAAATCGAGCTCAGGCTCCAGCCTTCTGACGGATGTTATCCTCTGAGATTCGAAATGGGGAAAAAATATGTCCAGGAGGGAAGAGGATTTTGAGACGATTATCATAGCTCTCATTCGATTGATGAGTTTCAGTCGGAGACGGTTCAACGGATTCCGCGATCCTCTCACAATTTCTAACGGCTCGGCTGTATCCATGTATATTCTTTGAAGGCCCATGCGAGCCGGATTACGAAGGAAGAGAACCCATGGAGGAAGGCTTTCCTCGAGACGAAATAATCGGCAGCAGGACCACGATGACCCGGCGACCGAAAGCCGTTGACAGGCTATCATTGGCGCGATACGACACGGGAGAGCTCGACCATTTCTAGGAATACTTGTCGAGATAAGCATTTGACGCAACGTCGATGGGACCCGATGTCTTTGCACTCATTGTCAGGACAAAGAAGGCTCCTCCGGAAGCCTCTGATTCGGTACTTCCAATTTCTTTCTCGAGGCGAAAATCCTGTCAATCATATGACGATATCAGAAGGTTCACCCGGGGCGCCCTTTCCCACGCGCTCGCACCTCCCTCTCGCTCCTGCTCGGTCCGAAGTTCGAAGCCGGATACTGAGAGAATTTTTTCGCAGTCAAATACCTAGATTCTACCATGTCGACAAAGAAGCTGTGAACCTTCACGAGCTGACCATGAGATGCGGATCCGAGATCGAGATGTGCCGGTGGGGGGAAGTTCCGATCCTCCTTGTGTTGAAGGGCGACGAGAATCTCGAAACCGTATTGACTCCTAGATAGCTCGAGCTGTGCTTCGGAACGCGTTTTGGGTTGAATCCTACGCAGGGGCCGTCTCTTAAGCGAGGCCACGGTCCATGTCGACCGACGATGTCGCTCCTATGTGGTATCCCACAAAATCGCGAAGCGAGGTACCAGAGGATATAGAACACATTGTCACGATTAGCGACAGCAAATCCGTTCTCTAGTAAGCATCACATTCGCCGTGACATTTCGAGTGCGACATGTACCGTCGACAAAGAGCTCTGTTATGATTTATGAATCAGGTGAGTCTACCATGAGCATCAGTGTCAGGCCAGAATCTATTGAGCCAAGACAGACGGCTGAGGTGGTCTGGATCCAGTCTGGATCACGGATCGAATCGGATGACGGCGGATCGATTCTCGTGTCTGTTCATCTGTTCGATTCTCTCTCATCTTGCTGTGCGATTTCATAACACGTGACTCCCTTCGATGTAACCATCTCATCCATGATTTTTGATCGTCCGCTGACTTTCAGCATCGGGATATGCTTTACAGGAGCAATGGACTCGGGCACGTTTTCTGAGTCTGTGGTGGGAGACCCCGAAGACTCAGCCATCGATTTCTCAATCAGGAAAGTCTCATCCGAAGACTGTCACCAAGATGCCAGCGCATTCGTACCGCGGGCGAACACTAGCGATCCGATGAAACTTTGGTACACAGTGGACACGGATCCGAGGTCAGTCTTGGAGCTGTTTAGGATCTTGATGATCTGGTCTTCCCATCTCACTCAAGCCGATTTCCAGAACCGCGAAGAAGATAGCGATGGAATCGCTCTCTTACGCTACGATTGATCAGTCTGTCTACATCATGCTACAAGTGGACTGTCCTTTCATAAAGAAATTCGAACTCGTCAACATCCAAGATCTGACTCATACAAACTTGCGCGTAAGTTGAGATCCACGCTGAGAAGGATCCGAGAAGGAGAAGGCTCTTCATCTTCTAATCGTAAACTTTTCTCACGTAGAACGGCATGACATTGATGGAGCTCAGTGACTGTCTTCGATTACTGGCAAAGTACGCAAAAGAACTCCTCAAACCTGCCAGGGAAAGGTTCGTAGAGTCCGCGAGCAAGGCATGGAGCTCGATGATTATTTATTCAGCCCTATACGCTATCTCCCCGAGGATCAACCGAGAGGAAGACCTGGCAAACTCACGACACGTTCTTCATAGATATAAAAACTGGAACAAGATACCTTTCCTGAAAAGTGGAAGTCCCCAGAAGTGGACCCGCATGGAGGGAACGGCGCCCATTCTGCATCAGCTTGGGTACACGCAAGTGAGTGACGATGAGGCTGAGGATATCGAGGAATTGAAAAATAGAAAATGCCCCGGACAAAGGTTGTATCGTGATATTTAAGTGATGAGTCTGCTCTGAACATCCAGGGAACTTCGAAAGGCTACGTCTTCCCCCTGACGGCGTATGGACCACCCCTGGCGATCATAAAAGTCATCGCGCTCGAGCTGGCGATGTCGGCGGCCGAATTGAGCGTGTTCTACAACAATCGTCACCCGAAAGCCGAGGTGTGTTCGGCGCTCTCGATTTTGTGTATACGATGTTAGGCAGAAATAAGCATGCTGTCATCGGATGTACGGCCCGCTGACATTCCTGAACGTGTCAGTCGCATTTTGCTTCAGGTGATCAGTGCGATGCTCTACAGTCGGGGTGCTGAAGCGTTGCCAGCCAAACAGGAAGTAGTCCAAGAGCAGGGCCCACCCTCGGCACCTTTCAATGTCATGGATCTCTTCGAATCGACCGTCAAAACCGACAGAAGCCATGAAGAACCCGAGGCAAGGAGCTCTGTGAGAATCATATTTCTCTGTAACTTTTTCAGTTCTCGATCGTGACCCACGAATCGCTCAAGAGTCTCGATTCCGAGGGTCGAGCTTGAAGACTAAACCGATTCCGAATTGTCGTAGGTGAATCAATCGGGACTCAACGATCCCGCCGCGTGCAGCGGAGGTATCGCTAAACGTCGCCGTAGCTATGATCTCACTCCCCTGAAGCCACCGTCGACTTCTTCGGGCTCCCCTTCCCTAGATACATCCGGAGCGATTCCTGGAATTCCAAAGATGGAACCAGTCTCGGTGGACGAACGGCTCGACAACGATGACGTCAAACAAACTAAGAACGCGGATTGTTACGGGGTTCCTGCACAGCCAGATGGCGGTCACGCTCAGCGATACTTCGAGGCTCCTATTCCGAGACACAATTTCGCTCAGAGATTCAATCAGCAATATGGTCCCGATGTAGCTGCTAGCGAGGAAGCGGTGCGGCAAATACAGGCTATGATGCCCGCCACCCTACCAAACCTGAGCATACTCGGCAACATGTTGAGTAGTGCGAAATATGATTACAGAATTTGAGCGCGGACCCCGACTGAAACTCAAGATCCAGGAGAAGTGGCAGCCTATCGGTAGGTATGTGCCGTCGATGAGTCGACAAGTTCCCATCCCGAATACCACTTTATACATACATATGTACATGCGAAAGGTACACTTCCAACTTGAAAGTTCTGCCATCGAAATGCAACACTGTGAAGTCGAGAACCTGCCCAATAAATTCAGCGAACGCCTCCTCTCACTCGATTGTGAATCGAGATTATCCTAGGTGTCTTCTCTCTAGTTCTTGAAGGCAGGCATTCAGAAGTTATTCTAATCCCTGATTGCGCGCAGACCTGGGATGGCGCAGTATGGTCGTTCTCTGTCCTTGGACTTCTTCTCTATCGAGTGCTCCCTCTCAATAAACTCATGACATTACGGGGGCACCTATTCCCGTCCGTTATCTTTATCTTGGTGATAAGTAATAAGATATATCCCCATTATCCTGCCTAATGGGTGGATTCTGCGAGACGTTCCGCCTTGAAGATGATGTTTCGAGAATGTTCCAGGTCTTCTGGAGAGGTATCCACTACCCACTAGCGCATTTCCCCGCCGAAAGTCTTCCTTCGCGGAAGTTCCTGATGGAAATGCTTTAACAATGAGTGGGGTCGACGCGGAATCCTGCGCTCCTTCCTCGAGTGACTCCGGAGACAACCGAACAACCGGCTAGGTCATTCGTAGACACTCTCCCGTTAGCCGTGGGCACGTGGCCGATCGCCACCCTCTACAGCCCTTCCTTAGATTATTATAGACTCTGATTCGATACCCTGACTACTGTGAATATTCTAAAAGAATGGCAGTCTATGATGAACGGGCAGACTCCTATAAACTGGCAGTCTTTAATAAACGGGCAGGTTCCGGAGGATTGATGAAACAGGCGGGCAGACTCCTTCCTATAAACGGGCAGGTTACGGAGAATTGATGAAATAGACGGGCAGACGCCTATAAGCGGGCAGTCTCCGATAAACGGGCTCTTCGAGGGAGGGAACTGGGGTATCCGAGTCGCGAAGATCGCAAATACCCTCTCGTGGAAGCTTTGAGTGAGTTTTTGGAATGCTCGCGGTGAATATTTCATCGATTCAATAGAGCCTACCCATAGGAGTGACTGATCTGATTTCACTCGTTCGAGGACGGAAGAGATCGACGAATAGACGAGCAGGTTCCGGAGGGGACTAGAAATAGAGGGGAATGCCTCCCAATTAGAATATTCGCGTTAAGCGAGTTTCCCCTCCCCTTCCATCCTGGAACAATTAGGAATCATTAATTCCCTGGGTCCATCCGGTGAGCTCTGGGCGTCTTGAGAGCGATTGAAAGTCAAAGATATTTTGTTCCACCATCAGGCAAGCCCGCCAGCTCGAATCCTACATGGGCTCCTGATCCGGCCCATCGCGTCATCAGAGCGTCGGATCAAGCGCAATACTCCGCAGCGCGAGTTATTGATTTCTCCGAATCACCCCGTGCGCTTTCGTAGGGGCGGCAGGCCTCAGGAAATTGCGGATTCAAGCGTCTTGATGCACGGATCCCAGTTGTGAAACACATGGTTCAAATGAATGTCAATCGGAGCAGCCGAAATATCCGTCCAACTTTCTCCTCTCGAGCTGTCAATTTCCGGTCGAATTTCGCATCACTGTAGGGTTCCGTAAATAGAACACGCCGCAGTCGAAACCCCCAATGCACCAAGCAGCCATTCCCTTCCGCCCGAAGACGGTGGTGTGACTTTTGAATAATGACTCTTGTTTAATCATCGATTGCATGCATTGTACCCGAACCCGGTCGAGTCATGTGGAGAAACGTACATACATATATACATATTGGGATTCATGCATGTGGCCACGTTGGAATGCCCCGCGAAATTCCCTACAGTTCCTGAAATTCTGAGACATCGCCTCAGAGGATCTGCTGGAATTCTAAACAGGTTGGCGCCCATGGGGTCACGGAGAATCCTTCTCACGATGGGACTGTCTCGAGACGCATCGGAAACTCCATTTTTCGGGGGAATGAATGTGCAATTTCATTTCGAAAGCACTTGTACGGACACATATACAACCGAGCACATTGGATTGACGAGTCTGGCAAGAGATCTTCTTCTTTAATTCACTTTCAATTAACGGAGGCGTTCACTTCAGACTTCACTTCGGGATATTCTCTCGCTCGCTAGACATTGTTAGCGGACATAGGTTGTGTGTGCACAGGGGCTAAGTCGAGGAAAGAGACTTCGAGAGAGCCGACTTCGTTTCTTCGACACATTCAACTGTATGTATGTTCCTCGTGGCGCCGGCCAGGAAGCAGTGTGCCCCCGATCCTGTCGTCACAACTTCCTCGATTTCTTCGCGAAGGTCTCGAAAAGCGAGTGGAAATCTCGGGGCGGTCCCTGGTTCCCAGTAAGAAGAATTGCCTCGGGAGAGAGTATTCGAGGCACAAAGAATCGTACAAAATACCGATAACGATGAGGCGTGCAAACCCAGCGCTCGGACATCGGGGGAAGGGAACTGGCGGAGGAACGAAGAGCTTTACGAATATCCGGTGCTTTCTGATATAAAAAGACGTGTTCGCAGCATTTCTTGCTGAGTTCCATTCGGATCTACCGGCCGCCCTATCGAGCCAACCAGCGGAGCTCAGGTGAGTTTGAATCCATTGATACTCGCAAGGGTGTTTTCCCACCGTTCCGCGGTTAGAGAATTCGGAGAGGATGCCGAGAGCGTCATTGGTGTACGGACAAAGTGAACGGTGTTCCGGAGACGGCCAAAAAGGAGGCATCTCACTCATCGAGGCTCTTCTTGATTGCGTCGTTATGGATGCGTTGTACACTCGCCAAATTTTCAGTCAGGTCGCTGGGACAATCCTTTTCGCAACGTAAGGCTCTGCGCAAGTCATGAGGAATTCAGCGAATTCCGCGGGCCGCGTGATAGTCTTGCGTCAATCATCGCGCGGAGATTATCAGTGCGAGTTGTGCTGCATCTAGCTCGATACTAGTGACAGAGTTCTCTATCGGCTCATGCTCGTAAACGAGGAAGTTTAGCTGCAGCGCTTCTTTGAGGTCCCCACGATTGATACCGTCGAGAGGCTTCGTCCCTCGTCATGGGCCCATTCTAATCAGGATTGATCGCTAGCTGCACCTCTCGGAGTTCTTCTCCGTTCGAGATTAGAACTATCCGCATGAGAATCACAAGTAAATTAGGTATCTCCCACTATCCGAGTCAGCCTTAGCCTGCCACGTTTAGAGCCGCCTATTGAATCGGGATGATAGATGGCGGTCTGAATTATTCGCTTAAGAGAACCAGCAGAGGCAGATTATTCTATCGATGTGGTCGCAGTGAAAAGAGTTGACGTGTCTCAACTGTGCTTTCGATGTTGAGAACCCAATCAGAATAGGGAGTCTTCACGACGTGTTCTGTCTGACGGCGTATTCCATTGCTCCTAAATTAAATCGACTTTTCGAGGCAGTCTATCTTTAGATTCGTCGGGTGGCCGTGAGTGAGTCCGAATCTGCCCGTCGCGACCGTCCCTCATGGACCGAGAATGCGAATCAGCAAGTCGGCTGGTGAGAGTCACTCGCTCGGATGGCTGTTTGGGAAGCTGTCAAGAAGGCATTCATGATGGCGTCGTCAGTGAGAGACAAGCAATAACGATCAATTCCATTCCGTCCGCCAGCATCAGCAGTGGCTGCAGCGGCGGCACGATCTGCTCCGCTTGTTGATATTTTCAGACAGCAGCGAAAGACGGATATTGTCCACTGTCAATCCTGGAGTAGCGTCGGCACGAGGCTTGATTTATTGTGTGTTGTTTTCTTCTTCTGGAACCGCGCGCGGGCATTGAGATCAGAGCGACTTTCGGACTCGGTCGCAAAACTAGGCCGGTTACCCCCTCATTAAGTATTCGACACCCTGGAATAAAGGCCACGAACCAGCAAGGGAGGGAATTTCATCGATGCAGAATCGATCGCCGCAAGTCAAGTTCGGAGCGCCGGCCACATGAAAGACGATGATTGTCAGTATGGGCGATTCCGTTTGTGATCCTCCTGATCCTTCGCCGACCATATTAGAGATTCGGTTCGAGCCATACGCAGATAGCAACCCGGAGTCTCTGTGAGCTCATGAAGCTGGCTCCATGGGGATTGGTCCTTCGCCTCGAATCTTCAAATTCGCGGAGACATTGGAGTTGATGAGGTTGGCTTTAAGTTTTTCAAAATTCGAAAAGATGGAAGCTGGTCGAGAGAAAATCTGTGTACGTCCCCGGTTCGGGGTCCTTCGATTCTTCGAGACCGAAACCAGAAGACCGAATAGACAACTTCGGTGGCTACGATTGGAGAGAGGCGGCCACGGTCCTATGGAAAGCCTCCGTCCGAAGTGGATATACCCTCGTAATCCTTGCCTTCCCGAATGGGTCAGGTTCAAAAAGCGCTCCAAAAGGATCTCGAGAAATCTGCAAAACGCAAGGACCCTGCGAACTACTTCGCCCCCCCCCCCATCCTCCTCTTCTCGTGTCTGGACTCCGGATTCTCTGGGCCACTCCGCGAACTGACGAAGAGCATTGTCAGAGCCTAGAGTTAAGAGGGCTCTAGAAAACCGTAAATCGGGGAAGTGGAATCTGTTCGAAAATCCGAAGAGAGCTTACATGACTGCTGGAAGATAAGATAAGCTCAGAGTCCATTGTGAGGCTCTCGGGAACACGTGAGCGAAAGCCCTGCGATCATAATCTGATAGAGATTCCGCATCGAGTTCAGCACCTTTCATTCAGCGCTTAGCAGCGGATTGCTTGAGATGGTTAGAGTTGTAGATTCGGAGGCTCCCCCTGGGGTCAGCCGATCCTTGCAACGGGTTGTGGATTGGGAATCCTCATTCACCTGCCGACAGGGGAGTACGTGGCTCTCCGGCTTACCGTACACCCCATACTCCCAACCTACATGCACGGTGTAGGTATCAGGTCTTCCTTCGGCGCCAAAGTCTCGTTTCCACACCGAGAATGAACGTCAAGATACGCGTTTC